TCTAAATTGTTGCCAGTGGTTTTAAATGTCCGAGTCTCGTCTCTTACCCCCCTCTTCAGTAATACTTGTAAATTTTTACTGCCTCATAGCGCAGTGAAAAACTTAATATTTTGTAGTGACATCAGCTGAGAAGAAATCTTCACCTCCATCGGTCTGAGTTTCTTGATTTTTGGGTTTTTTTCTTCAGTTTCTCACAAAGTGGACAGGTGCTGGATGTTCTGGCTTTTCTGGCTTCATTTGGGTTTTTTGTTTTGTGGTGGGTTTTTTTTTTTTCCTCTAGAATGTTTTTGAGCTCCTGTTGCCGGTGCATACACTACAGATAACACCAGGTGTTCTTGCGTTAAAACTCTGCAAATGTGTGCGTGAGATCAGTGAAGGCAAACTCTCCTTGTGCTGATTCCCTGAGTGGGTGTCGATGCTTTACCTCAGCGAATGTGGATTTTGGGTTTTATACCATGAGCACTGTGGTGGTGCTTGGGGTGGAGCATGTCTATGTATTAAGTTCTGAAATTATTTATTTTCTTTCCTGTGGGAATCTTAATTTGCCATTGGAACCTAAATCTAAGCAGTGTGGGGTGGAAATGCTCCCCTAGAGCGCTGGGATAGCCAAAACTGCTGAAGTATCTTGTCTGGCCCCAATTCACGTCTCTTGTCAGAAACTGTAATCTGTAGCGGGTAAGAATGGGGTCGGAGAACTCAGACGAGCCTGAATGCTTTTAGTTTTTCTAAAGATGTGGTCCTTACTACGTGGTGCTTAATTACAAGCAAAGATAAGGGGTAACGCTGGTGGGTGGATGAGGAGGGGTAAGGTGTGAGGCCTTGTGATGTGGGTTTGTTGACCGTATCTCTTAGTTACGGGATATTCTAGCTGAGGCTGCGTTTGCACCTCTTAAAGGAGAATCTGCTGCTTAGCTGCAAAAGCACGTTCCTAGCAGTGGGATAGTTTCTAAAGCTGTGCAAGATGGATTAGCACGCTTGGTTTCTAGGAACGTGCGCACTGTTACAACAACTCACCAGTTATATGCGGGATACGCTATGTAGAAAACTTCACTATGCACATCCTCTGCATGAAATTAAAATAATAATGGAAATTAAGTCTTGTTTGTAGTAATTTGTAGTGTGCTTTTGAAGTATCAGTTGCTCTCTTATTTATTCATTTTTATTGTAGCCACTGATGCAGTTTAAAATTGTAGGGGGAAAAAAAGATTGCAGAAGATAGAGGAAGGGAGTGTGTGTGAAAGATGAGAGATCTCGATATTGAGATTTACTTTCTTGGCGCTGTCCTGGTAAATCTGTTTTGCATATAGTTAAGGAAATAAGCTTATTGCTTCAGATAAGATTAGCTTCCAAAATAGTGTAATAATAGGCTTCTGTTGCCTCACAAGGAGAGGTTTTGACTGCTGAACTGGAAATAGTGCCTGGATGAAAAGAAAGGTCTCGGTCTGTGAGCAGCTGTCCTGGGGAAGCACCAGTCAGTCAGCCAAAGTGCTGCCCAGGCCCAGCGGAGTTTCATCCCTCACAGCCTGGACAGGTGCAGAAGCTGCAGCTCCTCTGCCAAGTGCAGTTGGCGTCTGTTTTTAATCCACCAATATGCAGCTTTGGGTTTATTGTTCCAGGTGTTATCTCTGGTGTGGTTCTGCAACTTCAGGCTTACATAACTTCCTAAGTTATAAAAAGTGTGTATATAATACAAAGTACAGATTTCAAAAATAATAAACTGAATTTATTGTTCTAGGACACTGATTTTTCAACTGACCAGAAACATAAACTGAAGTAAGGAGTAACATTGTGCTTTTACTATAATGCTGTAAAGGGTATCAGCTGGAACACAGAGCCTTAAACTTTGGAGATTAAGCCTGAATATTAAGAACTTACTGAGCAAGGTGCATCGTAGTGAAAATTCTCACTTGCATATGTGTTGGCAGCATCAGCCTTATTATTTTTAATGTTTCTTTATATATTAGACATACTTGTTTGGGACTGTTACAGTCTCAGAGGCTGAACATTTTTGTTTCCTTTACTGACCCTGCAAACACCTGGATGTCAGGTGAAGGTCAGATTAACTACTTATTCAACAAAATTTTGTTACTGCAGAGTAGTGAAACAACAAATGTACAAATTGTTTGTCTCTAGAACTTAATTTTGAAAATAACTTCTGATGCTTAACAGGTGTAGGGCACAAATTCTATGTGTAAAACCCTTATACAACCCCCTTTCTTCTTCCTCATCATTTTTATGCTATAATAGCACAAAGTGTGTAGAAATCACATACTTGTCATCATAAGTATCTTTCTAGCCCCCCAAAAAAGTCAGATTTGAAGTCAGATGTGATCAATGGTAATTTAATTAGTATTCTACACCTGTTGCTGTTCTACACCAAGTCTGTGATTTGAACAAAGAACTTAAGATCCTCTACTGGAGAGACTTTGACTTGTTAAATATGTATTTATTTTTTTTGTAAGGTGACATACTCCTGTAGTTATGGTTCAAGTTTCAGTCATCAGAGACGTCAAGGTGGTAGGTTTAATTCCTTGGAAGCCTTGTCTTCCAGACATTCTCTGTTGACTTTCCATTGGTTTTGCCCTACTGAAATTGTAGTGTTTCTTTTGAGACTTGACAACACTAGATTTTTTTTTTTATGAATGGCACCCTAGAATGTCCCTAGGGAATTGGGAGACTTCACTTCTGTTCCTAAATATGTCACTCCACAGTATATATCTTGCTTCCCTCTCTCTGATAGTAAGAAACTAGATTTCTAAACTGTTTCATAGACCTTTCATTTTTTTTAAAGTAACCACAACAAAACCCCACAGTTCTACATGCAGGTATGAGTGTTACAAATAGATGTAGTGGAGGGTGAATGGCCAAGAGAAGTTACCAGAGAAATTGAAATAAGGCAAAAAGGACAATTTCACAAGGCATTATTTTATGTCAGGTGAGATGCATTGCAGCATGTTATGCACACTAAATTCAATCAGTTTGTTATCTACATTAAATCTATGGCATCTTGTTTTGCTTATGGTGTGTCGTAGATAACTTATTTATGAGTGTCCTACTTCTTTTGAACTGGGACCAGGAAGAAATTTTGTTATGAATAACTTACTGATGGAATACAGTTCGAATTTATTTGTGTTTTGATAACCAAACCTATCTGAAGTTTGTGGTGTCAAAATAGATTTGATGGAAGTACGTGTATGCTGTGGTAGTGCTTGTGTGCTTCCCTCATCTTGGCTTGTGCACTGACTTTTTCCATCTGTTCTTCATCCTGTGAAAAGCGAGGGGACAGTTGATGTGTGCGAGCTGCTTATCACATTAGGACTGAAGTTAAAGCTAGCTGCTATGTGAGAGGAATAGATTAGGGCCTGCTTAATGATGATGGTAAAACTACTTCTGAACTATAAAGGTCTGTTTGCACTGCAGTGAGTTAATTATGTGCATAGCTGAAAGGGATATTCTTGTGTTAAAAAATCTTGTTTGAAAATTAACCCAGAGTTATGTTTGCAAACTTTATTTCTTTTTCACTTAGAAAGAAAAAAAAATTAAATGCAACTTTGGCACAAGAAGAGACAGTACAAAGCAAAGAGATCAAAGTGGCTACGTGGTGTGGAAACTAGTTTTTGTGGGACTGGAGATAAAGGGTGGGGAGAACACGAAAGCTGTTCAGGAAACTTTGAAGAGATGATTGGGTATTGAAGACATCAGAGGAACAACCTGAAGCTTTTCTCCACGGAGGCATGAGATGTCATGGGAAAGGTTGTGGTGTCCTGGAGAGAATGAGGGTGTGAGGTGTCTGGGGAGTGCCAGGAAATTGATAGGAAGGAAGATGAGGTGCTACTAAGTCTAAGTAAACATACCTGGGAAATGACTGTTAGTGTTAATAAAGTGGCTTTCAGTGGAATAGCAAAGGGGAAAATTAGACTGGAGGTGAAGGGAAGAAATGAAGCATGTTTTTTGTATGAAGTAGTAATTTTGTAGCCTTGGATGACAGGCAACAGTACCGATCCTATATTGTGCTTATGACAACATCATATTTTGCTCCTCTTTTGGCCTCAGTTTGAAATACTTAGTTCTTGTACTAATAGAGAATGCAAAGAATTAAATAAATAATAATGGAGAGCAACTTCAGCAATGTTTTACCTGCAAGCCAAGCTTTGGGATTACTGGTGGGGTTCTGTAGGTTTTTGGAAACAGAGGTTGAATATTTAGAAAGATGAGAGAAGAGGGAGGAAAACTAACAGGAAAGCAAAAAGCCAGTAAGAAGCTTTCTTCCTAAGCAGAGAAAAAGGAGTGTGAGAACATGATTTGTGGAGGGAGAGGAAAGGGAAGGCAAAGATGGAATATTGGGTGAGTAAAGTAAGGGAGATGGAGCTGCCTTGAACTTTTTTTTGAGCACCTGGGTCAAGGAGGATGAAAAGTAGAATGAGAGTGGCTGGCAAAATAAATTTGGGGGGTGAGGGGAGGAATCTAGTGGGACACGGTGAGTTTGGTGAATAGTACTGTGCTAAGCTTTGGAAGATGAAAGCAAAAAAAAAAAAAAAAAAAAAACACCAAGAGGAGAAGGGGAGGAAAACCCCATTCTTTTACTACCAGAGCTGGACGTAGAAGTAGTGATAAATAAAATATAGGTCTGATTTATGGTTCCTGGCAGATAGTAGACGTAGGCTGGAGTGAAAGATGTTTGCAAAGGATGGAATATTTTTGGCAAAGATGAGGAAAGAGAAAAAGCAGTATGAACACCCAAGAGCATAGCAGAGCTATGAAGGCAGCTGAGAAGGCAAAAGAACTAAAACACCCAACCAACCTGCGAGATGGGAAGAAAAGTGAAAGAAGTGAGAGTTTGTGAGGAACAAGAGATTGCTCAGTTGGGTCCTATTAAAATAAAGAATTTGAATAAAGAACCATATGGAATAATTTTAAAAAATGGGTTTTAAAAATATCAGAGCCATTTTATGTAGCTTGGAATAAAAGCGGATGACTTTCTATGCAAAATCTCTTTCAGCGATCCTTTTGCTGCACACCATGAATATATGCGGCAGATGATGAGAAGCTTTTCTGATCCTTTTGGACGAGATCCATTTCTCAGTATAACAGATGGTGGGGAGAGAACAGTAGATCGAAGAGCACGCCAGGACTCTCAGGTTGCTCTAAGAGGAAATCGCAGAGTAAGTATTTTTTTAATCTCCAAGGACTGCTACATGGAATTTACATTTACTGGTAATATAGTTGGCTTCACATTTCCATTTCTGTTAAATTTGGACCAGTGGAAACAGGCCTGGCTCAGCTATTGCAACCTTGGTCAGATTGTTTCATTGCTGAGTAAAATGTGAATAATACCCTCTTGGTTCCTTAATGGCCTATTGTTTAAGTGTTTATTACTTACCACTGACAAACTTGTTTCTGTTAGGACTGATAGCAAATTTGTATGTTATTGAACATGCATAATGTTTGATTCAATAAATATTATGTATTAAATGTTTCTATTGCAAAAAGGTATTTAAAATGTCCAAAGACAGAGCCTTTTCCAAACGCTTATTTCCTCTTTATGCTAACTTTACCTAAAAAGGTACCTTGATATGCTTATACCTTCACTGTACACTTTAGTCTCTTGCATCTAGTTATTTAGGTTAGTTTGATTTAACACATACCTGTGTTTCAGCCACATAAATCGTATTTACACAGATACTTTAAACCCTGCTTTGCAACTGAATAAAGGCTTCATGTTCTGTATTTGGTCTGATTCGTAATGTTTCTGCTTGATACAAGACTAAGAATTAAAGATCACAGAAATTGATACGTAACCTAGTATTTCTGTAAATTACCACCTGAAACTGAGAAGTTGGCAATGATCTATGTTTTACATAAAGTACGTTTTCAACTCTCTGGCCATGCAGGACAATTATATCTTATGCTTCTGTAGCTCAACCTTATCTAATTGCTGTATTTAGAAAGGACACATGTTTGAAGTTGGTTCCTTTCCCTCCACCAGGCTAAATATTTTGCAGCTGAATGGTCTCTTACTTTAATGAATCACACTTGATTTTTGAAAAAAAAAAAACAGCAGTTGGAAGACAAGACAGATTACAAGGGCTTGTGGAACTCAGCCAGATTTGGTGGTGGTTGTTCAAACCTAGATAGAGCTTAATAAACATAGCTGAAACATGGACTGTCACCTACAAGTCAAAAGGGTAACTGTCAGATTCTTTCCTCCGTGCTCATACATTGGCAGTTTGTTTCAAATATAGATGTTGCTGTATCTAATTAGGGCATGATCTTGCCTCTGCTCAGGCAGATTCTTAGGCCTTGGTTCAGTACATGCATAAAACCAGATCAGACTTCTTTTTCCTGTAGAAATGAATATCCTACTATATTAAGGGTTTGTATCCCTTGTTCTTGGCAGTGACGGAGAAATGTGATGCATAGAAAACCTTTATCTGTGGTTACAGGAAGGAGTTAAAGGTGCAAGAGTGCTGTGTTATTTTGATAAGCACAAAAGAATTCCACACCTGCTAAAATCTTTCCAGTATCTTTTAATGTTCCTCATCTTTCACCTAAGAGTTGTCAGATGTCACAGAAGACTCAGCACTGATTATTTAAGCCTTTTAGTCTCAAACTGCTTTTACTGTTTTCCCTTCAGAAATGATTCAGACACTTAAAATAATTAGATTTTTATGTAGGAAAACATGGATATCTTTACTACTATGTAAACTACATTTGGTTAAAATTACTGATATTGTAATTCTATGTTTAAGTAAACTATAACATCGCTAAAACTGCTTTACAAGGGACAGAATTTGTTGCAACACCTCAATGTGCATCAATATAGCATCCACATTTGAAAGTGCTTTTCCTTTCTCAAACAGGTTTGCAGCGTTAGATTTTAGCCTTTGGAGGGGGGGGGGAAGGAGGAGGAATGGGTTACAACATTTTAAGAGATACTGTCGTTTGGTTTGGATATCAGATTGTTGTCTATATTAGGCAACTATTTAACAGTTGTATGTATATATTCTAAAATAAAGAGTTTGTAAACTTTTTATGACTAACAGCTTTATTTCTGACTATACCCTTTTGCCCTTGATATTCTTTTCTGTCACTACATATTAGATCTGCAGTCTGAAGGAGTTCATAAAGGTATTCAAGAATCAGATATTTCCTTCCTTTTGTACTTAAATGTTTTGCAATAACTCTGGTACTTCTATCTAACCCATCTTTCTTTAGGTAGGCTTTTATATAACTGTATAGTCTTAGTTTCCTGGAAGCATCAAAGTGTTTTCCAGCATCTCATTGCCCTGTCATATAGGGATATTCAATATCAGTTGGTCAAACAGGAACTGTATTTGCCAGTGTTTATAGCTACATCTATTTATACATCTGCAGAAGAATATAATTTGCTCATGAGGGATTTGTCTTCGGGTGGTTCTGTATATGATGATAGATTTACCTAGAACTTCTCTGCAGTGACCTTTGAAACTGCTGACTAGTTAGACTTCATTTTGTTTATTGCAGTGGATGTATGGATATTTTAGAGAAATATCTTTTTTTTACTTACATTAATCTCTTGTAATATATAGAGTGCTTGTGAAGGTCAGCTGCATCACTTGATTTTTTTTTTTTAATCTCTAAAATTGTATACCAGCCTTCTGAAATTTAATTACATAAATTTATATTAAGGACACTATTAATTTGTTGATGTTAATCAACTTTCACTGATGGAGTTCTGTTGCATAAGTGGAGTGTTTTCAGAGAAGTGGATGATGTCTGAAGCACTGTGCCATATTTTAAATAATTTTAGTACAAAGGTTGCTATGGTATACAAATGTTTCTCAACTTCTGGATTTAAGTGCTTCTAGTACATACATGTGAATATGATTTATTAAATATTGGACAGTGATAGTTGTCACACATGATTCATAGAAATATATTATTTCTGTATACCCAGGGACCGCTTCATATGATATTGTTGTAGCGTACTATAAATTGCCAGGGTCCTCTGAGCGACTGTCTTTATTTGATCAGAAATATTTAATATCTCCTGCTGTATATGAAAGTGCACTAGATACTTCTCTGTCTAATAACAGGTACAATAACTAAAAGACACCGGTCCTTTTTCTTCCAGGCAACAAGCTGCTCCTTCATGCCCTTTGCAGGCTTTGGTAGAGTGGTTAGTATCCCAGGAGCAATAATCCTTGTAGCTCTTGCTAGTATGTGTATACTGTCTGCATAACTAAAGCATGGACAAAGGCTAGTCTCAGTGTGCTTGCAAACTGCTTTTGCTGGTGTTTAGATATATGGAACAATGTAATTCAAGAAAGATTATTTTTCTTGAATTTTTTTGTCCTTATTAACTGAAAATGCTGGGGTAGACTGCTTCAAGATTGGAAAAGTTACTACTTAACAGCTGGCTTGTCAACTCGGCAATGTACCCGTTGGTGCTTGATCTCTGATGGATATGAATGAAATGACCCCTGGAGAGAGACTCCAAACTGAGTGGTGCCTGTAGACGGACGCTAGTGCCTCAGAGTGTGTTTATGGGTGTGATAGCAACAAGACCTGTAGCACTGGTCACAGCTAAGACAGGCCAGCTCCTGGAGACAGAATTTCCACTGGAACTGCCCTTGGAATGGTTTTCATCTGTAGTTTGTTGGGGGTCTGGAATATCTTGTAAAATATCTGTAAAAAGTACCTGAGGAAAACCAAGTTTATTGTTATAACCCTCAGGGAGGTTTCGTTTCCTTTGGAAGGCTTTAAAGCATCCTCAGATTGAGAACCAGTAACTTAGAGTGGGTCTCACCTGTAGAGCGAGTAAAAATGGGCATGGGTGTTTAGATTTTCAGATCTAGAAGTATTACTTGTTTCAGTATCTTTTGCAGAAGCACAAATTTGCAACTTTCTGTATGCAAAAAGTGTATTAGCTAATCAATGTTCTTTTTTTAATTAATTGCACAAGCTATACTTTTATTCCTCCACCCCAGTCTGACATGTAATTCCATAGGTACAGCTGATTACTACGTAATGTCATCAGTCAACGTCCTGATTTCTAACTGTAGAAGGCAGTTTTCTGGAGTTACTGATACTTGCAATGATTTGATGCCCTAAATTGTCTATAATCGTTGTCCAGACGTTTTGCTAGCCCTTAAGGATTCAGATTTCTTGCTACTCAAGAAACAAACTGAAGGGTTTCTATACCTGAATTTTACTTAGTTTTATCCTTAAACTGCATTTTTGTTGTTTAAGTTTTTAAATACATAACTATTGAAATTAATTTATTAAAATTTAATTCTATATGTTTCTAGTAGTTGGAGGCACCTGAGGTGTTTGCTATTGTATGAAACACCAGGATGCTAATTACAGCACTTCAGTAGTGCAAAGGGCTGCTACGTGCAGTGTGACAGCCTGTCTCTTGCCAAAGCTGCTGGATTTTGCAGAGCCCCTGGGCTCTGCTCTTTTCCCCGCTCTTCTCACAGCCTCGTACCTGTGACCAGAGCGTGGTGGTGGCACAGCGGCTCTCCTGGGAAGCAGCTAGGCATGCGTGTGTGTAGAAGCTCATCAACCAGCACATGGTGGTCTCTCTTAACTAGCGTACTCTGACCAGAGCTGCTCGTGTCAGAAACCAGGCAGGCAAGTAGGGAGTTTGAACAGGTCCTGAGGAAAAGTTCATAGTAGGAGAGAAAAGGGAGAGCAAAAATCATCTTTGTTGTCACAACCTGCTGCACTGGAGAGGAGCCCAGAGGAAGATGCTCATTTGGGACAGCATTGCTGTCTTCCCAGATGGTCACGTAGGAGAGTT